GATGCAAATTTTGCATTAATGTGCAACAAAAAGATTTTAAAAAATTAAATACAACAAAGTTTTTTAAACTTTATTACAACTACAATTTAACATAAATTTTTTTAGGTTTTTTGTGTATAATGCAATTGTTTACATAACGTTTTCTTTAAAATGTTTTGAAATTTGCATAAATTTTAAGTGAATATTTGCATCATTATTACGTTAGAAGCTGTCGTAATTTGTAAAAATGTCCTGCAACATTTGTACAAACAATACTTATGTAAAATTTTGAAAACTTCCGGTTATCTGAGTTACTTTAATTTTTTTTATAAAAACATTCTCGAATTCTTCAATTCTTTAGTCCCCTGGACCAGGTCCGAGTGGATGTTATGCAGGTAGTAATCTTGCGGATTACTAATCTTTGTTTTTTGATAGACAAAAAAGGATAGCTTTACGACTTTTGAGATAATTTAGTTATAAAATAGTGGGTCTTCCCTCTTTTTTCTCTAATTAGCATTAACTAAAGAAAGAAAATTCCTATCAATTTTTTGTATATGTCATAAGAAAGTAGAAGATGGAGTTTTGTAACAGTAAGTGCAATAAAGCAAAGTCTAAGAGTACTGTACTTTTGTATTCCATTTTCCGAGTGGAATACGAGCGTATGTGTATCAATATTCACATCTGCTGCCCAGCTTCCGCAAAAAATCCGCATCGCAGCGCTTGAGACTCCGCATTCGGGCCATCTACCTCTGGCAACACTGTCCGTGACTTTAACACACAGACTGGCGAAACCTTGAGACGTGGGTGTCAGTCGTCCGTGGGAAGACAACCCCCTTTCGCGGGACATCCGCTGTTGAAAGCGAGTGCAACATTTTCAATATCTCGCCAGTTGATACTACCTTGCAAAACCCTCATACTATTCAAATTTTAAAGTGTTATGTAGTATTAAAAATAGTGTTTTCTATTGTCTATTAACCAGCGTTAGATTTCTATCGCGTTCTTTCAGGACTGATGGCTAAGGTCATATCTGTTGGCCTCTTTTAGTTTCAAGGGCATAGTAAAACGCATTCTTAATAAGTCTAACGAAGTCAGTTGTAAGTATGTTGTAAACCAATTCTATTTTTTAAGAAAAGTGAAAAATACGGACGTTTTGAAAAAAACACTTTTTTGGTATTAGAGGACCCCAAAAGGTGTCTTTCCGTTGAAATCTCGAAATCGATTTCCGCAGAATTACATAGCTTTCCCTATATAGTGTATATATATGTATGTATACGGGAAAGTAAAAATGTTAATTCTAGTACGAAACATTTGGCAGCAGGTTTAATGTAGCCATTCAATTAAAACATTTCACTAGAAAAACTGTAGATTGATGAAGAAGAGAATAATGTTAAAAGTTTTAATTAGATCTTTAAAATATATGCTATTTAATTTTTAAATAATATAGAAAGAATTTTAAGTGGATTTTGAAAAATGTTGATTATCTATTACAAATGAATTATTGTCAGGGTTTCGTTCAAAAGGGAAACGTACTTGTTTTTGAGAAAAAATCTTTTCCTAAAATAATTTAAAGATTTATTTTGGGGTGTACATTGCATTCTCAATAATTATTTTTCTTTAGTACTCAGTGAAAGAGAGGTTCGAAAATATTGAAGTCGTCGTTTGAGACGTTTTAATAATTGAATTCTATATGGAAAGTCTGAGTGATATCAGTTAAAGATACGCTCAAAGCTTTGATGAATAAAACTGGGGTAACTTACGTTCGAAAAGTATTAAAATACGTGATGAAAACACTCTTTAATATAAAAAATCTTGAATTGTGAGAAAAGCAAGGACCGTAGAACGCCAATAGTACTAACAGTGGTATAATTCGTTTTTTTCTCACTTCTTACTTCTTAAATTTTTAATATTGTAACTTTAAACAGGTAAATAAACCCAATATATCCAAAAATAATATATTTTCAAATTAACTAGTTGATGTAAACTTCATTATATTGAAGGGCATAAAATTATATTTTTGGCATAAATTCATTCTCGTTCAATATCGCTTATTTTTGTGAGGTAAGCGAATTTATTTCTTTTAATATTCTAAATAACATACTATATTATCTCGTTATTTAAATAATAAAATACAAGCATGTCAATTATCATTTTACTTTATTGATAGGGTAGTTATTTAACAAATATGTTGACATAGAACCACTCTGAATATTGTCGATTTCGTTCCCCTTTTTTACAAAATACTGCGAAGTCCTATTAATTGCTCTTCATGTCATTTCAAAGAGTATCAATCACTTGGATGAAGAACGGCGTATTTCTTTAATAAAGGTGTAATATACTCATTTTCTCAATTTGATTTAAGATTTTTTCTTCTTCTTTGCCAGTTCGTAGTAGAACCAATGGTTAGCTGAAAGAAGGGGTGTACTTGAATGTTTAATTTTTCAGATATCTATAATATAAATTTTTTGTTTAGGTAACTTAATACGCTCAATAATTCTATGAAACAGAGTTTATTTCTATATTAATAGCATAAATTCGATTAAAACTCCATCGTGCAATTCAAACTACATGTCCACCAATCAGAATTTAGAAACGGGGCAAAATAGTTTGACACTATATAACACGTACGAAAACCCGGCAACCCGGCGGCGCATCTCACCATCCACCGAGGAAGGAACACCGCCACCGCCCGGGATAAAACGTGCGCTACGCTTTCGGGACTAATTCCGGGCATAGCGGTTGGCGCGGCCGGAAACGCCTAAACACTCGATGGATCGAGGAGCGTAGAATCGATCGAGGAGCGCTCACCCGAGGGGTCGATGGGCTGCGCCTCCGCGGGCAGGGGGCTCTTGGACACGATATCCTCTGCCTCCGTCGTCGAGATGTGGAACGGACTCTTCTTAATGGTCACGTTCGTGCTGCAACATGAACAAAGAAAGAAAGATCGGTAACGGTAACAAGAAGTAAAGAAAAATCGTTGTAAGAAGTTCACAAGTTACTCGCTTGCTTAATTTCCTGAACTACGCATGTAAGAAAAGATTTATTTTTGAGCGACATGGGACGAAAACGAGGATAGTTGTGTGTTTTGTTATGAGAACCGTAAAATCAGTTTACTTTGTTCCAAATTCAGCTTCGTTTTTCCTAAGCTTATTATATTCTAATGTTTTATAATTGTGTAAAAGAGATCAATTGAAACATTTTGCTATTTCTTCTACGACATTCGCTGATTAGTTACATATCAGAATCAATGAAATTCAATAATTTAGAGTCGCATTCAGAGTCGACACTTACATTTCAAGTGATTCCTTAAGTACTTTCTTATTATAAGAAGTTACTTTTGATAAGGAAATTGTTGTGCAATTTTGATATTCATTAACGATACTTAAACATAAGTACTATACTAGCAGCGTCTCAAGTATTGGTTTTTTCACAGTCAGTTGTTTCCGGCCTGAAGCGTTCCGTCAAGCTGGTCGCTGAACTAAGCACATGTCTGCGTCCGTAACATGGTGAAAAGAGATGCGTATCGTAGCTGACTTCATCCAATGAGCTTCAGAGACCAGTTTGCGTGGCAATATTAGCGATAATTTTAAATGTAGACGGATATAAAAATTATTTCCTTGTAACACGTAATTAGAACACGAAGCCATTAAAAACATTGCATCTTTCATTTCAACGACACCTTCATCAAGTTATTTTTACTTGGTCTCCGTAGAAAATTGTCACTTTTTGCCACTTTAAAAATTTTTCTCAACTCTTCTCGCTATCCATACCACATGGTGAGAAGCGCAGAACTAGTGCCTGGTCTGGCTATTGAAACTTTAGTTCCCGCGTTCTGGTCACGTGGTTCGGAACGCTTACTGGTGATGCGCAGAACGAGCAAATATCGGTGCGCCGAACTAGCTCACCCATCTCTGGCGTGGCGTAACCTAACCTACACAGTTTTGTCGTTCAGTTCAGGTTCAAGGGGAACGCTCTTTTCGGACCACAAATGGAGCAAATTCTGAGAGATGTTTGAAAACAAATCATAAAATAATATTAATTCAACTAAAGAAAAAAACAGATGCGTAAGAGAAATTGGCCCCAGAATATAACGCTGTATCCGAATATTTCTTGTTGCCTCGTACAACGCTGTCATCTGGAAAATCCATAAAATCTTCGAAGTGGTCGTTAATTTCCATTTCTTTTAAATTACGACAATTTTCAACGCACCAATCCAGCCTTCACTTTTAGCAATAAGTGAAGACTGGATCTTCTTTGTACCTTTAAGGAGTTTATGTGCATTGATAAGTTGCGATTATGAACTGAAAAACTCTTTAAGGAACACCTTAAGGTTTTCCTAATAAGTGATTATTATTAATATAGCACCTTTAATCACTAAAATTATTGCCAAAACGATTTGACTAATGTCAAGGCTAAATTTAAAACAGATTTTGTGGGGTACTTTACATTAAGCCTCAACGATATATTCAACATTTTCTCAAGGATAGCTTCAAAATTTTTAATGCTTTTCTCTCATAGAGCATAGTAGGCTTGTAAAAATGGTGCGGGTTCGATATTCAGCTCACTCTGAAGTTTCAAAAATTGCCTAAGTTTTTTTGCACCGTCTTAAAACTGTTAGAACATAAAGCTTTGTCTTAATGAAATATGTTCTTGAAAGTTATGTTTAAATTATTTCATATACAATTTTTTCCAAAACATGAGGTTTTTGCATATTTTTTCGTGAAATAAAGGCAACTTGAAAAACAAAGTGTCTCAAAAATAGATCAACATTTTCAAGTACTCTAACTTTTCTTGAATAGTATAAAGTACAATTGTACAAATGTTATAGGTTCGTATTTCGTTGAATTCTCAAAAATTTCGGAAATTGAAAAAGTTTCAAATAATCCAAGAAATCAGTTATCGCCTCTGATATAATAGTTATGTACCATGAGAAACTTAAATTTTCATCATATATTTTTTTTTGAAATCGAAAGGTTTAGGTTCTACAGACACAGAAGTAACTTTTTGTTTCTTGTGATGTACCATCATTTCATCTTCCTCGCTTTATCAATTAGATTTTGATCATCAGACACTTCATCTCGAAGACTATTTCTGGAAATAACTTTAAATGGAATTTGTATGTAGGTTCTTGCTATTTGTAGCTGTTGCCTATTTCTTTTACCTATTATTTGACAGATTAAAGTTAATTATTTACCAATCGACATGAGTTGTCTGCGCTTTTCCTAACACAATATCTTTCCATTGCAAATGAGCGCTTTTGACAAGTTTCACTGTAAAGTCTTTATCTTTTGGTTTTCCACCAAAAGCAAACTTATTTTCTTGCTTTCCTAGATTCATTTTGTACACTCTGAACCAATTTACCGATGCTTCAAAAAGGCCATTATATTGTTTTTCTATATCTCCTATATCTGTAAAAGAACGAGGAAAACTTCACTTCAATAGTACTATATAAAACACGTTTCCTAATTTACCATCATGAGAATTTATAAAAATTTACAATATCTACATTTGCATTAATTTCTTGTGTAAAAAATGTCTAATTCATACACTATTTCTGTACTTGTATGCATATTCATTATTATATTTCGTAGGATTAATTATTAGTCCACCAAAATAATAGTTTACCTTTCATGTGCTCGGCCAGTGGATCAGTAATATCAATAGCAAACACCTTCCAATCCGTCTCTCCTGTAAAATAATGTTATCTCTCCATATGATGTTTTATTGATAAACAAGATGCCAAAAAGGACAACTTTTATAACGTATTGTTTTCGAGATATTTTCTTCCTTACAACATCAGAAACACTGTTTGTTTTAAAATAACGTAAAACTTCATTATTAATATTACCTTGATCAATGAGAGCAATTGCACCTAAAACTTTCACTTTCCGTACCTCACCAACTTTTCCTACCTACAACAGAATAGAAGACTTCTTTAAAAAAAAAGAGCACCATGTTTGCGCCTGAAGAATAATGACATTCAATGGACCTTGTATCCTATTTCTAGGGCGTCAAGGGGATCTCCATCGCCGCCTTTTTTCGTTGCTTCGTCCTCAACGTCTGGATTTTCAAATGTCTGTTGGGGGAAAAAACATTCAAATCATTAAATAAAGTAGTGGTGATTCTTCAAAACGGTGAAGATTTTCCCGTACTAGTTTCCTTTTCTCTTGAGTCGAGTCTAGCTTTTCGCCTTTCCCGCCATCTTCCCAGTTGCTATCTATTGTCAATTAAAAAATCTACCAGGACTTCTCGCAGTACCTGCCGCTCCTCTCAGAATATTCCCAGTGAAGGGCACCTTTGCGCTCCCCGAACATCGCATAGGCTTACCTCGGTCCGATATACATTTGCCCTTGGCCACAATCGGTGCTTAGACCTTTGTGCTGGGTGCAGAGACCCAGCTTTTCAATTACCCACATAGATTGCGCATACAGGTGCCTGACATGCCAAAAGATTGGTACAGGTGAAAGGAAAGAAGGATTAAGGTACATGTGTAATACACGAGGAACTCTGAATACCCTACAGCCACGCACGCAACCTAAAACATTCACGCATTACGGAGGATACGAACCTACAGAAAACAGGCCTTAAAATCGATATTCTCAAGCTAACCTACCCCAAGCCCCTTCCACACGAAGATGAACACTTGATCGTTCTATTTATAAACCTGTTACGGTGATGCAACTTAATTTAATAAAACTGCAATATTACTAAAACTTTTATGTGACAAACATTAATATTATTTTGGGAGCATTGAATCTTAGCATTTTAACTGATTTGAGCAATACGCCCTGAGGAAGGTCGCAGAATGGCGACCGAAACGTCGGCACCTTCGCCTTGGACGCGGCGTTACCCGGACAGCCTAGTAAATACTAATATCAATGATGTTCGTCAGCGAGGTCAATGTCAGCGTAGGTGCTCCCCGGATAGCGTGCACGTTTACAGGCTGTTTCTAATGTCTCAATCTGCTAAAAAGCGCGAAGGTGAAATATGAGAAGGAAGGACGGGTAGAACTAAGTGAAAAACCACTAGCAGACCCGCTTTGCCCAGCACATTCCATACTGCGTGAGCGGGATTTAAATCTCCGGCTCGCTCTTTCATTTACGTAAATAAAATTGGAGGGGGTGTCTGTGGTTTTGAAATATCTGCTAATTGCCAATACAAAATGCGTATTTAGATAATACTAATCATAACTTCTGATCATAACCTCACAAAATGATTCCCCCTCCCAAAAAAAGTTTGTTTTTAAAACAAATCTATAGTTTTAACCCTATCTTAAGGAAATTTTCAACACGTGTCCTTCAAAACGAGAGGAAAAGTTAGTGTCTACACATGATTTCGTAAAAATCCCTCCTATCTTCACTCCTGACTTCTCAACGATGTCAGTGTGCGCTCACTTTGTTTTTTTGGCGAATATTTTAAAACGGGTGAGAAAATCCATAAAAGAGCGTTAAATATGTATGAAATTAAAATTCCTTCAAACGCTTAGGCGTTGAATTTCATGCACAGTTTTACAGGAACTTTGACGCGAGTAAGCGACACGGATTTGTTTTGCAGCCGCTCATAACGATGGCAGGAGGAGCAATGGCGATCGGAACATGCAGGGTAGGTCCGGAGCAGTCGAGGCAGGTGAAAGCGAAGGCGCAGGGTAGGCTTCGAGCACGCGTCGCGTGGCCGGCAGGGCGATGACACTATATACGGAATTCATTCTTGGTGTGTTCTAAAGATATTTGTATTAAATAAATAACCGAGAAACGCGGAGTACTTCTAGTTGTGCATATAAATGTATATGAGAGATAAAGAGATATTTGCAGTATAATTTTCAGCTTGAATGTTAAAAACAGTTTGAAGCAATAAGTGTGAGAATGTAGTTGAAATTCTTTGACTAGAGCCAGTGTGTAAAAAGGAAATGCTTAGTAATGATTTTATTGCGCACAACGGAATTTAGGGAAACGTTCAGTCGAAAATGCTTCAAAAGTATCATTAAAATTCAAATTATCTTGATACTGAGATAAGATTTTAAATGCGCTTGGTCGTATATTTCTTTACCTGGGGAAACGCTCCGTAATTCCAAATGCAGCCATGATGAGGAAACACATTGGGGGCGTACCTCAGCTTCCCTCCTTGAATTTCCTGCATAATTGGATTCAACGTTTCTTTCATTTTCATCTACAAAAACAAATATTTTATCTTTTAGGATAATTAACAAAAGCAATTTTCTTTGTTTTTGTTATATCATTGTCACAAAATGTCTAGTATTATAAGTTGAATTGTTTTAGTTTCCGTGCTCAATTGAATTTGAATTTTATATAATACATACTTCCATTTTAGGATTTGTCCACCGCGGTATTTCCACGATCATGTTAAAAATGTTTTTTTCTTCATTTACCCACAAAGGAATATCGTGCACAGGGGATATAGGTCCATTTTCATCTTCTTAAAAAGCATTTTTGTATTTTTTTGTCAAGAGAAAAGGTTAAAGAAAAACATTTTATTCCCATGTAGTTACTTTGTGGTAATCAATTACAAAAAAACAATCAATTTATTGTTAAATAATAATAGTTTTATACTTTTCTTCCACTACACATATGGCATTACTTATTTATTATACTCTACTACTGTGATAAAAATAATATAAAAATGAAAAGACTTGAAGGCAACTCACTGAAGTAAATTCTATAAGTCATAGTATTTAGAGCCCCTCTTTCTATATGTGAATACATTACTGCAAACAGAACACTTTCACACAACACACAATCTAGTTGATACCAGCAATTAAAATAAAATTGTCCTACAACTCTATTATTCACATATACGTCAACTGGATTATACTTGTTTATTGTACTTCATATGTATATAAGCTTCTGTGTGAAATGCGCACTTCAACTTTTCCCGAAAACTGCAGCAGGCAACATCCCCTGGATATATTCAGGGGGTGTTGCAGCAGGCCTAGATCCACCGAATTTCTAAAACACTGCATTATTACTAACCCCGCGCAACACCCGGAAAATTTCCATGTGCCATACGCAGTACACATCTTCAAGTTGTGCACCAAAACCTTAAGTAGGTAGTTTTCGTACTAGTGGTATACAATTAAGAAACAGATTTTATTTTCTTCTTCCACCCGAATACCTACGCTTTAAATGTGCGACATGAACAGGTTATATTCACGCAACTTTCCTTGGCCGGTGGCTTGAAGAAATAGGTAGAGTGGGGAACATTAGTTACTAAATCGACCACTAGAATTCACACAGAATAGCCAAAAAACTGGTTTAGACATGCGTGTTGAAATTCAGAGATATGGAACCAATCAAAACGGTCGGCAATGACTATATGATGTCCGGGGAGGAAACGTTGAAATTTTGAACATAAGCTCTTAAGACAGTTTTAAGCATATTTTGTCTCATAAACTTCTTGGGTATTCCGAATGGCTAAGCCGCTATAAACACTCAAAATGTGATTTGTAAAAATGCTTTCTAGGCAAAAAATGTACATTCTAGAATCATAAAAACACTATAGAAAGCAGTAAATTGCGAATTATTTACAAAAGAAATGAATATATTTGTTCAGAAAGAAAAATTAACCCAAAAATAAAAAAAAATCGAGTTGTGTAAATTGAGTACTTTTTTTATTTCCGTGTTGATGTTTCTTACTAAACAAATATATGAATTTATTTCGTAAATATTATACAATTTACATGTTTCTAGAGTGTTTCTATACTTCTGCAATGCCAATTTTTGCTTAGAAAGCATTTTTTCAAACAGACTTTTGAGTACTAATCGCGGCTTAACTATTCGGAATATACAAGTAGTTTATTAGACAAACTTTGCACATTATTGAGCATATTTTGGATGTCTTGCAACGTGCTGTTCAGAAGAGATCTCCAACCTCTCCTGTTCTTTCGAGTTTATGGACAGCCCTGCCGGATTCATGACGTCAATTACCTTCAGCACTACTTCAGACATTAGTCGTATCCGTGCCACGTCACTTGCGGCACTTCTGTATGCTCGCGGAGATCCTACACGATATTAGGCAGGTGTATCAGGCTTCAGTGTATGAAGCAATGCCAATCTCTCGAATATCCGTCATGTCTTTGCAACGTTTTCAGTAAATTTTGCGTTGTATCTTCCTCAGGAGTTCTAGGTATCTCTTGTAATGGATATAGATATACTTTGGTAATTTATTTAGACATTTTGAAGAAAAACATCAACTGAGTTTCTCGTTTTTAACACCAAACAGTTTTTATTAAGCGCCAATGAAGATGTGTTTGGAATGTTGTCATTAGTGTTTGCTGCGAGCGTTTGCCTTCAACTGTTCATTGTCCCAGGGAAGGGGAAGGTAGCCATCGGTCGAGAAACGTTGCGCAGGTGATAGGAATTTGTTGTACTCAGGCATCTTTATATAGAAGGGATGATTATTGAAACCTCTGGTGAGAATTTATCAAGAAAAGAAGAATTACATGTGACATTTGTCCCTGATTAATTGACAGCACATCTTTTTCCAGTGTTTTACAAGTATCTGAAATATCTTTGAGCGCATCAGAATTCACTTCTACCAGACAGCGATTCATGATGAGTTGCCTACAAAACAGGGATAAAGTTCATATGGAGAACTTTGTTTTATGAGATTTCTAACCACATGTTCATCGTAAAAAGTCATCGTATACTTATTGACCTTGAAGTTTATA